TTCATGAACTGGAGGATATTTGGAGTAGCTCTAATGGGAACACAATAAAATGGACAAAGACTTGAGCTCAGTCTTTTTCCGGTTTACTCTCTTCACACAAACACTCATTAAAGGATTAGTTCACCCAAAAGATGAAAATGTTTCCAAACAGCTGATAAAAACATCACAATAATCCACAAGTAATCCACAGCACTCCAGTCCATCAGTTAACATCTGGAGAAGACAAAAGCTGAAACACATCCAGCATTAAGACGTTTTTAACTAAAATAAAATAGAGTCCATAATCCATAATAACTGTTCCTCCAGTGAAAAAGTGCATCTGCTGTTGTCTCTCACATCAAAATCCAGCCACATATTAGTTTAGAGCTGTTTAAACGCTGCTTGATCTGTGCAGATTTCTCTCCTGATTCACACCAGAACACTTTTTCACTGGAGGAAGAGTTATTATGGATTATGGACTCTATGGTATTTTAGTTAAAAACGTCTTAATGCTGGATTTGTTTCAGCTTTTGTCTTCTCCAGATGTTAACTGATGGACTGGAGTGCTGTGGGTTACTTGTGGATTATTGTGATGTTTTTATCAGCTGTTTGGACTCTCATTCTGACGGCACCCATTCACTGCAGAGCAGAAGAAACAAACTCATCCTGATCTGGGATGATCTGAGGGAGATCACATCTTCATCAAGTTCTCATGTGTGTGTGATCTGTAGGTGTAAAGCACAGCTGTGGACTGCAGTAATCACGTGTGTCGGAGGCGTCAGGCGCACAGAGCACAGATCAGTAGTTCTCTAGATTAGACTGAATTCTTACTCGTTGTGTCCGTGCTGGCTGGCGATGTGCAGAGGCAGAAGGCCGGTGTCGGTGGCTTTGTTGGCGTCAGCGTGATGTTTGAGCAGAAGCTTGACAGTTTCTGTGTGACCGTGTCTGCAGGCTTGGGTTAAAGCAGTGTTCCCGTCACACGTCTGAGCGTTCACACCAGCACCTGACAGGACAAACACAACATTCTAGAGTTTCTACTGTTCTGCTCTTCAAAGACATCCCTCAATATTTTGAAATAAATGTCTTATAAACACGAATGATACTGTTGTAGCAGCTTTCTGTCCTTATCTAATTCTTTTTTGCTAGGTCTTTGTTTTTAGTTAACTATCATATTCATTTATTTATTCATGTCACGGTAAAATATTAATTTTAACTTCAAGTTTAAAACTCAATTAAAAAATATTCATGGATCAGACGGATCAGAAACTCTCCGGCTCATCACACTGATGACTGTGTTTGTACATGTTTCCTCACAGCTTACAGAATGTGTAAAACATCACCACTCTATAGTGAAAACAGACATCTGACGTGTCTAAAACTAGCTGTTGTTGGAGAATAGTTTATAACACAGCTCTCACTACAAAAAGCACAGTTTGCAGTGAAGTTTTCTAAAAGCAGTCACAGGACAGCGAAGTGAACTGTTAACAGATGACCCCACATGACTGCATGTTGGAGAGAGTCAGAGTATACAGTAAACCCGGCGCTCAGTACCGCTCTGGATCAGGTACGCCAACGCTCCTGTGCGTCCGTGTCGAGCCGCCTCTATCGCGGGTGTGATGTGGTCAGTGTTGCGGGCGTCTACAGCGGCTCCGGCTCTCAGGAGCGTCTCACAGAGCTCAGTGTTGTCTCGTCTCGCTGCTTCATGCAGCGCGGTCCAGCCGCGAGAACAGCGCTGATTCACCGCCGCGCCGGACGCCAGCAGCAGCTTCACCACGCTGATGCTTTCCTGCTCACACGCTAAACACCACCACACACAGAGAAGATGGAGGCTTAAAACACTTACTCAACTCAGCTGGATAATGACAATATTGTCTTCTGTAGAGCTGCTTTACAGCGGATTCAAATTTGTTTCATAACATGGAAATGAGCTGTAAATGTGCTCACCTTCAGGCCATCCAAGATTAAATCTTCATCAGGTTTGTAGAAATGTAGCATTGCATCAGTGTCTCAGCAATGGATGCTCTGCAGTGAATGGGTGCCGTCAGAATGAGAGTCCAAACAGCTGATAAAAACATCACAATAATCCACAAGTAATCCACACCACTCCAGTCCATCAGTGAACATCTGGAGAACTTGTATGGCCTGAGGGTGAGCACATTTTCAGCACATTTTTATTTGACATTGTTCTTGAACTAAATGGAGGTGAATATTAACAGTATTGTTTAACCTTTATAAAGAGGCGTCTCTTTGTTCTTGTTGCTTATGTCAGGGTCGGCTCCTGCTTCCAGAAGACTCCTCACACACTCCAGGTGTCCTCCGTGAACGGCGAGCATCAGCGGCGTCTGCTCCTGTAGCGTGCGTTTGTCCACACACACGCCAGGATCTGTGTCACACACAACACGTGAACACGCTTCATCAGCACACGCTGCTGCATCACTGCAGGTGACCAATACTGACTAACACACGCAAACACTTAAGGGCCGAGCCAAAGCACAGGAGTAACTCAACTCGTTCAACAAGTTTTTTTTGGAAAGATTTGTGACAAAACCCTGCCGTGGCCCTTCAGACCCCCGTGTCTGATCTCTCTCTAGGACAGGTGTATCCTCGGCTCTTACCTGTCAGCAGAGTCCTCACGCAGTGTGTCTGGCCGCGGTGAGCCGCTTCATGCAGAGCCGTCCAGTCGTCTGAGTCACACGCTTCAGCTCTTCTGACGGCAGACCGGACTCTGGAGGATCAGGAGCATCAAGAATACACGGGGAAAAATCAGTCTGTTTGTCTGTTATAGTGGAGGCCGGGGCTAGTTGTCACATGGGGATGTTGCCACAAGGTCTAACTATCTCATAAACGTTTGTTTTCTCTTGCAGTGCTTTTTAAAAAAGGTAATAAATTGAAATTTTTTTTTGTCAATTCTGTCATCCAGACTACACTTACAGTATCATCATATGTCTGTAATATCTGATGAGTACTAAGTGAACTTAATAAACACACACAGACATACAATAAGACAAGAATCAGTATGTCACGAAGACAGATCTGTGTTCTCAGGACAAGGGTCATTTTCATGTCAGATCGGGGCAAGTTGTCACATGCGTTTCATTTACTTTACTTGTTTACAGTATTTTACATCTCCGTTGGCCAAATAAAAATGTTTTTTTTTTTTTTTGTAT